CTGGTTGTGCGTGTTCTGGTTGTGGTTCTGGTTTTGGTTCTGTTTTGGTTGTGGTTGTGCGTGTTCTGGTTGTGCGTGTTCTGGTTGTGCGTGTTCTGGTTGTGGTTTTGGTTTTGGTTCTGGTTTTGGTTGTGGTTGTGCGTGTTCTGGTTGTGGTTGTGCGTGTTCTGGTTGTGGTTCTGGTTTTGGTTCTGTTTTGGTTGTGGTTGTGCGTGTTCTGGTTGTGCGTGTTCTGGTTGTGCGTGTTCTGGTTGTGCATGTTCTGGTTGTGCGTGTTCTGGTTGTCCGTGTTCTGGTTGTGCGTGTTCTGGTTGTGGTTTTGGTTTTGGTTCTGGTTTTGGTTCTGGTTGTGGTTCTGGTTGTGCGTGTTCTGGTTGTGCGTGTTCTGGTTGTGCGTGTTCTGGTTGTCCGTGTTCTGGTTGTGCGTGTTCTGGTTGTGGTTTTGGTTTTGGTTCTGGTTTTGGTTCTGGTTTTGGTTGTGGTTGTGTGTGTTCTGGTTGTGCGTGTTCTGGTTGTGCGTGTTCTGGTTGTGCGTGTTCTGGTTGTGCGTGTTCTGGTTGTGGTTTTGGTTTTGGTTCTGTTTTGGTTGTGGTTGTACGTGTTCTGGTTGTGGTTGTGCGTGTTCTGGTTGTGCGTGTTCTGGTTGTACGTGTTCTGGTTTTGGTTTTGGTTTTGGTTCTGGTTTTGGTTCTGGTTGTGCGTGTTCTGGTTGTGGTTGTGCGTGTTCTGGTTGTGGTTGTGCGTGTTCTGGTTGTGCGGGTTCTGGTTGTACGTGTTCTGGTTTTGGTTTTGGTTCTAGTTTTGGTTCTGGTTTTGGTTCTGGTTTTGGTTCTGGTTGTGCGTGTTCTGGTTGTGGTTGTGCGTGTTCTGGTTGTGCATGTTCTGGTTGTGGTTGTGCGTGTTCTGGTTGTGCGTGTTTTGGTTGTGCGTGTTCTGGTTGTGCATGTTCTGGTTGTGGTTGTGCGTGTTCTGGTTGTACGTGTTCTGGTTGTGCATGTTCTGGTTGTGCGTGTTCTGGTTGTGCGTGTTCTGGTTGAGCGTGTTCTGGTTGTGGTTGTGCGTGTTCTGGTTGTGTGTGTTCTGGTTTTGGTTGTGCGTGTTCTGGTTGTGCGTGTTCTGGTTGTACGTGTTCTGGTTGTGGTTGTGCGTGTTCTGGTTGTGGTTGTGCGTGTTCTGGTTGTGGTTGTGCGTGTTCTGGTTGTGCGTGTTCTGGTTGTGCGTGTTCTGGTTGTGGTTGTGCGTGTTCTGGTTGTGCGTGTTCTGGTTGTACGTGTTCTGGTTTTGGTTGTGCATGTTCTGGTTGTGCGAGTTCTGGTTGGGCGTGTTCTGGTTGTGGTTCTGGTTGTGGTTGTGGTTCTGGTTTTGGTTCTGATTCTGGTTCTGGTTTTGGTTCTGGTTTTGGTTTTGGTTGTGGTTGTGCGTGTTCTGGTTGTGCGTGTTCTGGTTGTGCGTGTTCTGGTTGTGGTTGTGCGTGTTCTGGTTGTGGATGTGCGTGTTCTGGTTGTGGATGTGCGTGTTCTGGTTGTGCGTGTTCTGGTTGTGGTTGTGCGTGTTCTGGTTGTGCGTGTTCTGGTTGGGCGTGTTCTGGTTGTGGTTCTGGTTGTGGTTGTGGTTCTGGTTTTGGTTCTGGTTCTGGTTCTGGTTTTGGCTGTGGTTGTGCGTGTTCTGGTTGTGCGTGTTCTGGTTGTGCGTGTTCTGTTTGTGGTTGTGCGTGTTCTGGTTGTGGATGTGCGTGTTCTGGTTGTGCGTGTTCTGGTTGTGTGTGTTCTGGTTGTGGATGTGCGTCTTCTGGTTGTGGTTCTAGTTGTGGTTCTGGTTCTGGTTGTGGTTCTAGTTGTGGATGTGGTTGTGGTTGTGGTTCTGGTTCTGGTTTTGGTTTTGGTTTTGGTTCTGGTTCTGGTTCTGGTTGTGCGTGTTCTGGTTGTGGTTCTGGTTGTGGTTCTGGTTGTGGTTCTGGTTCTGGTTTTGGTTCTGGTTCTGGTTCTGGTTGTGCGTGTTCTGGTTGTGGTTCTGGTTGTGGTTCTGGTTCTGGTTCTGGTTCTGGTTCTGGTTGTGCGTGTTCTGGTTGTGGTTGTGGTTCTGGTTCTGGTTGTGGTTCTGGTTTTGGTTCTGTTTCTGGTTCTGGTTGTGTGTGTTCTGGTTGTGGTTGTGGTTGTGGTTGTGGTTCTGGTTGTGGTTCTGGTTGTGCGTGTTCTGGTTGTGCGTGTTCTGGTTGTGCGTGTTCTGGTTGTGCGTGTTCTGGTTGAGCGTGTTCTGGTTGTGGTTGTGCGTGTTCTGGTTGTGCGTGTTCTGGTTGTGGTTGTGCATGTTCTGGTTGTGGTTGTGCGTGTTCTGGTTGTGCGTGTTCTGGTTTTGGTTGTGCGTGTTCTGTTGTGCGTGTTCTGGTTGTGCGTGTTCTGGTTGTACGTGTTCTGGTTGTGCGTGTTCTGGTTGTGGTTGTGCGTGTTCTGGTTGTGGTTTTGCGTGTTTTGGTTGTGCGTGTTCTGGTTGTGCGTGTTCTGGTTGTGGTTGTGCGTGTTCTGGTTGTGCGTGTTCTGGTTGTGCGTGTTCTGGTTGTACGTGTTCTGGTTTTGGTTGTGCATGTTCTGGTTGTGCGAGTTCTGGTTGTGCGTGTTCTGGTTGTGCGTGTTCTGGTTGTGGATGTGCGTGTTCTGGTTGTGCGTGTTCTGGTTGTGGTTGTGCGTGTTCTGGTTGTGGATGTGCGTGTTTGGTTGTGGATGTGCGTGCTCTGGTTGTGGTTGTGCGTGTTCTGGTTGTGCGTGTTCTGGTTGTGGTTGTGCGTGTTCTGGTTGTGCGTGTTCTGGTTGGGCGTGTTCTGGTTGTGGTTCTGGTTGTGGTTGTGGTTGTGGTTGTGGTTCTGGTTTTGGTTCTGGTTCTGGTTGTGGTTCTGGTTTTGGTTCTGGTTTTGGCTGTGGTTGTGCGTGTTCTGGTTGTGCGTGTTCTGGTTGTGCGTGTTCTGGTTGTGGTTGTGCGTGTTCTGGTTGTGCGTGTTCTGGTTGTGTGTGTTCTGGTTGTGGATGTGCGTGTTCTGGTTGTGCGTGTTCTGGTTGTGCGTGTTCTGGTTGTGGATGTGCGTCTTCTGGTTGTGGTTCTAGTTGTGGTTCTGGTTCTGGTTGTGGTTCTAGTTGTGGTTGTGGTTGTGGTTCTGGTTCTGGTTTTGGATTTGGTTTTGGTTTTGGTTCTGGTTCTGGTTGTGGTTCTGGTTCTGGTTGTGGTTCTGGTTGTGGTTCTGGTTGTGGTTCTGGTTGTGGTTCTGGTTCTGGTTTTGGTTCTGGTTCTGGTTGTGCGTGTTCTGGTTGTGGATGTGCGTGTTCTGGTTGTGCGTGTTCTGGTTGTGGTTGTGCGTGTTCTGGTTCTGGTTGTGCTTGTTCTGGTTGTGGTTGTGCGTGTTCTGGTTGTGCGTGTTCTGGTTGGGCGTGTTCTGGTTGTGGTTCTGGTTCTGGTTGTGGTTGTGGTTGTGGTTGTGGTTCTGGTTCTGGTTTTGGTTCTGGTTCTGGTTGTGGTTCTGGTTTTGGTTCTGGTTTTGGCTGTGGTTGTGCGTGTTCTGGTTGTGCGGGTTCTGGTTGTGCGTGTTCTGGTTGTGGTTGTGCGTGTTCTGGTTGTGGATGTGCGTGTTCTGGTTGTGCGTGTTCTGGTTGGGTGTGTTCTGGTTGTGGATGTGCGTCTTCTGGTTGTGGTTCTAGTTGTGGTTCTGGTTCTGGTTGTGGTTGTGGTTGTGGTTCTGGTTTTGGTTTTGGTTCTGGTTCTGGTTCTGGTTGTGCGTGTTCTGGTTGTGGTTCTGGTTGTGGTTCTGGTTCGGGTTCTGGTTCTGGTTTTGGTTCTGGTTCTGGTTGTGCGTGTTCTGGTTGTGGTTCTGGTTCTGGTTGTGGTTCTGGTTGTGGTTCTGGTTGTGGTTCTGGTTCTGTTTCTGGTTCTGGTTGTGCGTGTTCTGGTTGTGGTTGTGGTTCTGGTTGTGGTTCTGGTTGTGGTTCTGGTTTTGGTTCTGTTTCTGGTTGTGCGTGTTCTGGTTGTGGTTGTGGTTCTGGTTGTGGTTGTGGTTCTGGTTGTGCGTGTTCTGGTTGTGGTTGTGGTTCTGGTTGTGGTTGTGGTTCTGGTTGTGGTTCTGGTTGTGCGTGTTCTGGTTGTGCGTGTTCTGGTTGTGCGTGTTCTGGTTGTACGTGTTCTGGTTGTGGTTGTGCGTGTTCTGGTTGTGCGTGTTCTGGTTGTGGATGTGCGTGTTCTGGTTGTGGATGTGCGTGTTCTGGTTGTGCGTGTTCTGGTTGTGGTTGTGCGTGTTCTGGTTGTGCGTGTTCAGGTTGTGGTTCTGGTTTTGGTTCTGGTTCTGGTTCTGGTTGTGGTTCTGGTTTTGGTTCTGGTTTTGGTTGTGGTTGTGCGTGTTCTGGTTGTGCGTGTTCTGGTTGTGGATGTGCGTGTTCTGGTTGTGCGTGTTCTGGTTGTGCGTGTTCTGGTTGGGTGTGTTCTGGTTGTGGATGTACGTCTTCTGGTTGTGGTTCTAGTTGTGGTTCTGGTTCTGGTTGTGGTTCTAGTTGTGGTTGTGGTTGTGGTTCTGGTTCTGGTTTTGGTTTTGGTTTTGGTTCTGGTTCTGGTTCTTGTTGTGCGTGTTCTGGTTGTGGTTCTGGTTCTGGTTGTGGTTCTGGTTCTGGTTTTGGTTCTGGTTCTGGTTGTGCGTGTTCTGGTTGTGGTTCTGGTTGTGGTTGTGGTTCTGGTTCTGGTTGTGGTTCTGGTTCTGGTTCTGGTTCTGGTTCTGGTTGTGGTTCTGGTTGTGGTTCTGGTTCTGGTTTTGGTTCTGGTTCTGGTTGTGCGTGTTCTGGTTGTGCGTGTTCTGGTTGTGGTTCTGGTTGTGGTTCTGGTTGTGGTTCTGGTTTTGGTTCTGTTTCTGGTTCTGGTTGTGCGTGTTCTGGTTGTGGTTGTGGTTCTGGTTGTGGTTCTGGTTGTGCTTGTTCTGGTTCTGGTTCTGGTTGTGGTTCTGGTTCTGGTTCTGGTTGTGGTTGTGGTCTCACCTGTGGCCGCGGGTGTCCGGTGACCAGGCAGGACAGCTCGAGTGTCTCTCCCTCTCGGATGGTGTAAACCCGCTCAGAGTAGCGCTCCTCCTCCACGTTACACGCGTGACCCGAGTGCACGATGCGGACAGTAGGTGGCGCTGTGGAGAGAACACACACAGTCACTCTTCACTATTGTTGCACCGGTGCTCGTATTGAAGCTGGGTAAAGTTCACAACATATAGCAATAACACATCTAACCTCGCATTTTACAGTTAAATGTGCCGTTTTTGAAAGTAAAAAAGAACAAGCCATCTTATAATTTACAGTAAAAAAAAGCATGAATTGATATTCCAGGAATTCCCTGAATAACACTGTTTTTCTTTAATAATTACACTTCTTAATAGTTCTTGTTATCAGTTATGTAGATTAGAATTATGTTACAACTAATACTGGCAGTTAATAATTCGGAATAATTAGGATTTTTAAAAAAAGAGTCTCTTCTGCTCACCAAAGCTGCATTTATTTGCTGAAAAATACAGTAAAAACAGTGTAATATTACTCCAGTGTAAATCATCTGTTCTCTATGTGAATATACAGTAAAGTGTAATTTATTCCTGTGATCAAAGCTGTATTTTCAGCATCATTACTCCAGTCTTCAGTGTCACATGATCCTTCAGAAATCACTCTAATATGAGGCTCAAGAAACATTTATGATTATTATCAGTGTTCATATTTTTATGGAAACCGTGATACATTTTTTTTTTCAGGATTCTTTGATGAATAGAAAGTTCAAAAGAACAGCATTTATTTGAAATTGAATCTTTTGTAACATTATAAATAACTTCACTGTCACTTTTGACCAATGTAATGCATCCTCTATGAATAAAAGTATTACTCCAAAATTCTTACTCAAAACTTTTGAATGGTTGTGTATCACAGATTTTACAACAAAAAATAAATAAATATAAATATTTTTGTTTTGTTTTGTTTTTTTTGTTGTTATTATCATACTATCACCAGCGTTGGTCTTGTGTCCTGAAATGTCACGCTCACGGATAAAAAAGAACATTTTCAAAACCCACCACTGGGAATTTTATCAAATATTATATTAAAAATAAAGCATTCTAAGCACTAGAGCTGCACGATTAGTTGTGAAAACACTGTGATTGAAACACACACCAGATCTTACTCCTACATGACAGCGATATGTCTATTAAAGCTTTACAAGTCTGATCTCAGTGAACATGCAGGAGCGTCACACACAGAGATGCCAGTTAGTTTAGATAAAGACATGCGCCACAGAAAGCATTCATTAATGATGGCCTCGTTCATGTTGATGTGCTCTGTGTTTGTGTGTGTAAAAGGCAAGTTCACACGAGATCATGAGCGAAGCTCTCATGAGCCGCAGCGTCTGTGCTAGTCTGTCTTTTACGCCCATAGCTCTTATTCTCACAGCATCATGCGTTTGTGAACTGATTGTTGTTGTTGTGTGTGTGTGTGTGTGTGTGTGTGTGTGTGTGTGTGTGTGTGTGTGTGTGTGTGTGTGTGTGTGTGTGTGTGTGTGTGTGTGTGTGTGTGTGTGTGTGTGTGTGTGTGTGTGTGTTTGCTGAGACAGATCATTGATGTCAGAATGAAGAGTGTGTTTTCAGCAGCTCAATAACGGTGAGTGTAAAGACGCCGGAGGGATCGAGTGATGACATCACTTCCTTTGAGTCTGAGCGGCACAGCCACACACACACACACACACACACACACACGTGGACAGTCAAACGAGACATGGGTCCGTCCTAGAGAGACAGGCACTATTTAGCTATTTTTGGACCAAATAAATAAATATATGAAAAAATATTTTAAAAAAATTATAAATAAATAACAATAAGTATATAAAATAAATATAAAAATTAAATAAATAAATAAAATTATATAAAATAAATATATGTGCACTTTGCGTGTGCAGTCATTAGATGTGTGCGACTGCACAGTTAGGCACTCGTGTCTTTGAGGATGTTCTCTGGCATTTGATCCGATTGCTTTAAAGTGTAAGAAACTCATTAGAGCAGAAGGTGCTGCTTCTCTTTCATGCGTTTAGAGTGTAATCGACGTTTGATGTTTGCCACACACACTCTGCCTCGTTCATCATTTACATATCAAGCAGAAACAGGGAGGATTGTTTATCCAGATATTTACTCGGGAACAGAAACGTGGCGTCTCGAGGGCTTAACGTGTCGTTTTCAGCAGCGCACACGTTTACCTTCGCCACTGAAGGAGGAACAGCAGAGTCAAGAGAAACTCACTATTAGAGCAACGGATCAGAGATGCTGAACTCGACGACATCACTGACACACACACACACACACACACAGTGGTGGACAGTAACGAAGTAAATGTAATTCGTTACTGTACTTATAGCTTTTTTGCGTATCTGTACTTTACTCAAGTATTTAAATTTTGGGAGACTTTTACTTTAACTCCACTACATTTCAAAGTCAAATATCTTACTTTTTACTCCACTACATTT